AGCGATTCTCTTGCCTCAGCCTCCCAAGTAGTTGGGACTACAGGCGCCTGCCACAATGCCTGGCTATTTTTTGGTTGTAGTTGTCGTTGTTTGGCAGGCACAGGCTGAATTCAAACCTGCCAGCTCCGATGTATGTGGCTGGTGCCCTAGCCGCTTGAACTACAGGTGCCATGCAGAGCTTCTAGAATTTTTCAGGGAAGCTTTTTTGGAAATCATGATTTGCTTTCGATTTCCTTAATACAATTTGGAAATGACAATTCTTTGGAATGCAGTTTTGACTTAAATCCCTGAATTCTCCTACATTGTTCTAAGATTACTATGATTAGCCAGTTTGTATTATAAAATCTATAGTGATTAATTGTTTTGTATTAAGCCACATGAAATCTACTGTGAGAAAAAAAATGTTGTTTCTCTTTCTCTTGTCTTTTTCTTAACTGTGTAGGAGATCCTTAATATCCTTAAAAAATCTGTTCTCAGTTTGGGATTTCTAAAGTATTTTTTCCATGCACCCTCATTTGACTTTAGTCTTATTTGGGTCCTTAGAGGTTGCTCTGCCCTTATTTTTGCAGGTGAGATGAAATGACTTATTCAGAAGTGCATGAATCCAAAATAGCAGAGCTAGGGTTCATTCAGCTCTAAGAATTTGTGTTAGCAGCTTGGCCCCTGTAGCTCACCAGCTGGGGCACCAGCCACATGCACCGGAGTTGGCAGGTCAAACCCAGCACGGGCCTGCCAAACAACAATGACAACTACAACCGAAAAATACAGCTGGACGTTGTGGTGGGCGCCTGTAGTCCCAAGTACTTGGGAGGCTGAGGCAGGAGACTCAATTAAGCCCAAGAGTTTGAGGTTGCTGTGAGCTGTGATGCCATGGCCCTCTACTGAGGGTGACATAGTGACGCTCTGTCTCAAAAATAAAAAATAAAAAAGAATTTGTGTTGGTACCTGAACCCAGGTCTTCCGACTCTAAGTGCTGTCCCCTTAATATACTCTGCTGCTTACCCAGTATGAGGGAATGTTCACAAGGGAAGCTTTTATCCCTGCATCTTGTCAGCGTAATCTAAACATTTGGGACAAACTACTCTTGTTTTATGTCTGTCTGTTTATTTGAACTTTTAAAATTATGGTGAGTTTTAGTTTTGCTTTGTCAAGAAGAGTGACACAAAGGATCTGTAAATTAATTATTTCTTTTGTGAACATTTTCAGTGTGGAGCGTTATGATCCAAGTAAGGACTCCTGGGAGATGGTCGCATCTATGGCAGATAAAAGGATTCACTTCGGTGTGGGTGTCATGCTAGGCTTCATTTTTGTGGTGGGTGGTCATAATGGTGTCTCTCACTTGTCAAGCATTGAAAGATACGACCCCCATCAAAATCAGTGGACTGTGTGTCGGCCAATGAAAGAACCCAGAACAGGTAATAAGATTTTATTACTTTTTAAACATGGAGGGCAGTGTTTTCTACAATGATGTTCTTAGGATAGAAGTTCTGTGGAATATAAAAATAACAATGGATTACTTGTCCAGAAAAAAACTTCTTTTGCAATAAACTTGGCTGAGGCAAGAGAATCACTTAAGCCCAGGAGTTTGAGGTTGCTGTGAGCTGTGACGCCAGAGCACTCTACCGAGGGTGACATAGTGAGATGTCTTGTGGCAGGCGCCTATAGTCCCTGCTATTTGGAAGGCTGAGGCAAGAGAATTGCTTAAGCCCAAGAGTTTGAGGTTGTTGTCAGCTGTGACACCACAGCACTCTACTGAGGGTGATAAAGTGAGACTCAGTCTCAAATAAATAAATAAATAAACAAACGTTAGACCAAAATCTTTGAAGCAAGACCTTAAACTTCAAGAGCATTATCTCAAAATTAAAAGACTTAACATTGGGCAGTGCCTGTGGTTCAAAGGAGTAGGGTGCTGGCCCCATATACTGGAGGTGGTGGGTTCAAACCCAGCCCTGGCCAAAAACTGCAAAAAAAAAAAAAGACTTAACATTTTATCTTACAAATTTTGTTTGTAAGACACAAACAAAACTCCAGTTTGAGCGTCCCAAATCTGAAATTTGAGACACTCCATTAAGCATTTCCTTTGTACATCACATGGTACCCAAAAAGTTTTAGATTTTGGAACATTTCAGATTTTAGATTTTTTGATTTGTGTTGCTCAATCTATTTTTATGATTAAAGAAACTCTTGAAGTATAAACATGCAAGGGAAGCTGAAAGGAAAAACTGGAACTAGCTATTTTAGTGTTTATTTAGTTTCTTTGGTATCCTTGACAGGGAAAGCCATACAAACAATGAGAACTTAAAAATTTGGGGTGGTAGGGCTGGGCCCACGGCTCATGCCCGTAATCCTAGCACTCTGGGAAGCGAGGTGGGTCGATGGCTTGAGCTTAGGAGTTCAAGACCAGCCTGAGAAAGAGTGAAACCCTATCTCTAAAAATACCTGGGCATTGTGGCAGGTACTTAATAGTCCCAACTACTCAGGAGGCTGAGACAAGAGGATTACTTGAGCCCAAAAGACTGAGCTTGCTGTGAGCTATGATACCATGGCATTCTGGTGACAAAGTAAGACTCTGTCTCAAAAAAAAAAAAAAAAAATAGGGGGTAGACTGTTTTTAAAACTGTTATGTGTTTATATTTAAAGTAGAATTTTAAAGCATAAATTATATTATGCATATTTTAATATATTTGAAAACCTGATAAAATTATTTCTAATAAAATAAATGCAAATATAAAGTGATAAGAAAGCATGT